ATAAGGGGCCTTAGAAGGGGAGGGTGACCGAGTCCCATAGTGCAGGGACACAGCAGCAGTGGGACGTTGGTTCCAAGAAGTGATATACACGGCAGGACGGGAACACTTTTGGTGGGTGACAGAAGGTGATAACACTTGATAAGATTCGATAAGGGGTGGAATAAGGGATAAGGAGAAGGACCGGAAGATCACTGGCACTGGACAATAAGTGACCGCAACTGACAAGTATTGAAACCGCCATCATGGGGAATCGGGCACGCCGGTTACAATCACAATGCGGTCGATATGATCTAGGTATCAGGTTCTCAGCAATTTGTAAACAACTCAACAAACTCAACAACCCTACGCTCTTATTAGTACTGCATCATGTACGACCGCTCAAGCAACTGGATTCCAGATGTATGGCGATTGTTTACAGAGTTGTCAGTCGAACAGCAGCAACTGTCTTTATCACTATGATCATAAATATCTTCTAACTACCTGAGCGAGGATCATTCGAAGCGGTTCATTGATGAGTGCGGGAGCGTATCTCACAGAAGAACCGGATGAAAAGCTTATGGAGCAGTATGATGCTGCTTCCTGAATTTGCTGATGCATCTATCGAATCCGATTGCATTCTATCGGATCTGATAAAGGGCGTTGGGAGGGATAGGTCACCAAGTTCATTACTCCCTTAGTAGAAGTACTGTGACCTCGGTTTCAAGATGCGGAACAGCTAGACGGGCGTACAGAAAATGTTTGTCAGTGATGGACAACTGTTAGCACACTACCCCTACCGACCTACTAAAAACCATACATAAAGCATACATAAGACTAATCTATGGTGGTTGATAAAGTGACGCAGTATGTAGGAAAAGGAGAGAATGTTAAGTAAGTGAGTTGGTTTCATCTTAGATTTTCTGTTATGGATTCCCTAAACGACTAACGCGAAAACCATTCAAAGTTTGCAGTAGGCAGCACCGTGAATGTTTTCAGTGACCCTGAAACGTTCTTAATGCATGACCATTCTTCGTCATCAGAACGCTCAAAGTTTGTTGAAGTCAATGAGTGGGCTTTATTTGCAGAGAAAGAGTGATAGCGGAGCGCAGATACTTTGTTTTTTTGGCGTAGTACAGGTAGTTCTCATTTTTCGTGAAGCCTATTCAAGAGTTCTACCAGAACTCGCGATTAGGTGAGCATTTCTATCACTTTCAAACAGTACGAAAAGTGCAACGTTTCCCAAATCCCCAGTTAGCGATACTTTATTTCTGGGAATTGATGCAAAGAAAAAGATACACATTACTATAGAAGCCGCCATTGCTCGCGTGCATTTGTTATCAGCTTATATTTCGTCTCTGGGTCAATCATCTCCTCTACTTTTTGTTCAGAAATCGCTTTTCTCACTTTAATGATCATTCACGGTAATTTTGTGAACGATTTTCAGAAGAGTTTCTTAGTTGATTATCCACTCTGAGCTTTGAAAACTATTTTCCTGGGTTGCCTTGGAACCGCAATCATAACTTTGTTTATTTTTCTTTGTCCTTCCACTGCAACGTCTTATCCCACAAAAAAACCTGTTCCTGATTATGCTTGCAAGCAGCGTTGAAAATTTTGCAAAAAGTTGAAAATTTTACACCTGTTTGTTTTGCACAGAAGTATGTCCTATCAAGCTCACGAAACACATGCGCAACATCAGCTAAATTTTACAATTTGGAAAATGTTCTCCAGCTCTGCATTCCTATACTCCTTGATAATGTCTCACTAAATTGGTTGTTTACCGCAAACCAGCTCGAAAACCCAGAGAATTTTTATTGCAGCTTCAAAAATCCGTCAATCTAACAGGAGTTGGAACACAGAGTAGATATGGAACAAAGAAGACAGAGAGGTAGACCAAGAGTTCATGATAGTGACAGTGCACGCCAGCGTAGCCGAAGAATGCGTGAATCCGAGGAAGAAAGGTCTGCTCGGCCTACAGGCCGATTCTTCAGCCGGCCCACCGGCAGAGGCGTCAAAGTGAAAATGCTCAAGAAAGAAGTGTCAGACTGGCGTAGATGCTGGGCGACATCACTCAGCGCGTGCAAGTGGAAACTATGGAAGAACGGAGTGCACGGCTTGCTGAAGATGCTCGACGCCAAAGGGTGAGGCGTGCATCACAGACTGCCGATGAGCGATCAGTTAGTGCAACTAGAATCATTCTCAGCGACAATATGTAGTACACGTTTGGAAAATGGCGAGGAACCGTTCCTAAACACCGGAGACAGGAAAAGCGCCTGAACGTCAGCGAGTGTCAGTGCGGACCGGCGCAAGTTTGGAGACTCTGAAGAGAGACTACGAGGCAGACTAGATAAGACAGCCTTTAGCGGCTGCGCCGTCTACGCGAACAAGAGGATTCTGAGGGACGCTCTTCTCGACTCGCGCGAGACGCTGAACGTCACCGTCGAACGTCACCGTCGGAGACGCGAACGAGAGAGCTCTCAAGAACAAGCTACTCGGCTAGCAGATAGCGCTGACCGTCAGCGTCGTCGGCGCGAGCAAGAAAGCTCAGAAGAGCAGGCTGCCAGGCTTGCAGATAATGCTCGACGACAGCGTCGTCGACGTGAGGGAGAGAGTCCAGAGACACATTCTGCACGACTTGCAGAAAACGCCGACCGTCAGCGTCGCAGGCGCGAAGTAGAGAGCCCCGAAGGACAGTCTGCTCGGCTTGCAGAAAACGCTGACCGCCAACGCCGCAGGCGTCAACTAGAAAACGCTGAGGAACGAGTTGCTCGACTGTCGCAGGAAGCTCGCCTACAGCGTAGGAGACGTGAATTAGAGGGTATCGAGGAGAGAACTGCTCGGCTACGCGCCGACACCCGACGTCACCAGCAACATCGCGACACTGAAAGTGGTCTGGAGCGTTCCTCGCGACTGGGTTCCAATGCTGCGCGAAATCGTCAACGACGCGCAGAGGCAGTTGAGTTCTCAGGGATAGCGCCTGCGCACGCGGATGACGGAGGCTCACTATTTAGGAGGTCTAGACCGAAGATGTGTCAATTGCGGAGCCAGACACTTCCTTTGTGAAGTTAAGTTGAATCATCCAGATACCTTCCTAGAATGTTGCGATTGGGCAGGATTCGACTCAATATGTTTTCTAATTTTCCGGAGCGTCTTCGTGAGCTTTTTATACAAAGAGATGAGTCTGACCGCAGAGCAACGTCGTGTACAGAAAAACTTTCTGGAAAACATAAGGAACTTCAATTCAGCGTTAGCCATGGCATCAATGGGAGCACAGGTAGATCCGCTTCCGAGGACGAGGTCCATACTGCTACAGAATACATGGACAAATATATCATCGAATGGGTCCCCTCCATCCCAGTGATGGTGAGCAGCGTCAGTATGGGCAAATCTACATACTGGATACGAAATGGCCGCTGAGCAACGCCTTGGTAATACGAGGAATGTTGACTGTGATCCAGGGCTCATGCACTTCCTTAGCGAATTGCTATCAAATGTTAATGTATACGCACAATCATTCAAAATGATGAGCGAAGGTTGAACAAGCGGAAATTGCAGCAGCAGCTCGGGAAAATCGTGCTCCTCTGAAAATCCGTATGGTTTTCGAAGAAAGTAATGAAAGAGGATTAAGGCGTCGTCAGTACGACTTACCGACGGCTAACGAAGTTGCTGTCGTATATGTTGGAGAAGATGACGACGTACCTGCTACGAGGAGCTTTGCTGTACATCTTCGAAATGCCCCAGGAGAGCAGCTCCTTACCATACGTGACATTGACAAAATATGTGATCCCCTGACATATCCCTTATTGTTCCCAACAGGAGAAGGTGGGTGGGAACCGAGCATGAGTAACATCGAATGGAGGTCGCATTACGCAAA